TTAATGAGCCATTCGCAGTTTCACAGTCTGAATTCGTTCAACTTACACATGCATGGCTTAATCTTTGACAAGCATATGACTACTGGCAGGATCAACCAGGTAGCATTCGTTAATCACGGCAACTCCCCGAACCATCTCGCGGACGATGGGCTAAGCATGAAAGCGCGCATTTTCGCCGACGCTAGGCACACAAGAGCGCGCGCATTTTTGCCGACGCTATAGGCTAACAAGAACGCCTTCATCCGCTTCGCTGCAAGGCAAAACAAGAACGCACGCGCTCCCCCGGCGCTAGGCAAACAAGAACGCACGCACTACCGCCGGCGCTAGGCAAAAGCCAAGGAGCGGAGTTCTGACGTTCATGCCAACCAAGGAGCGGAGCTCTGACGTTCATGCAAAACCAAGCATAAAAGGGTCTGACGTTCATGCGAACCCGGCGCAAGCAACAACTCTGGCGATCATAGTGAACCCGGCGAAAGCAACAACTCCGACATTCACGCAAAACCCGACGCAGGCAAGAAGGAACAAGGACTTGACCGTCATCTTCTGTCCGTGGGACAAACGAGCTATGGCGGGACCGAATTGCTTCACTCACCGTCAATAACCGTTCCGCATCCGAGAGTTCAGCCGACAGCTCATTCACCTATGCGATCAAGGCATCGTTCGATGCCAAGGTGCGAGGATCACAAGTGCCGGCTTGTGTGTTCGCGACATCCCAGCCAAGCAGAAACCGCGAACAACGGAGGAAGCCAAACTCAACAATTCCCTTCTGTTAGGTACGCAACACCGGCCCCGGATCCGTCCATCGAGGAAATAAATGCCCGTGAAAGAAACCGAGGCGGATAGTAGGTATGTAGTTGGATGCGCGAGCATGGAGCCTACAAACACTAGCTATCCGAACGCCACTCATACGCCGAACGTCAGTAAACCCGATAATGTCAATCGTAGAACTATTCAGTTTCCCGAAGGGAAAGAACTGTTAGAGACGGACAAAACCGAGCCAAAGCCGCACAAGCGCGAAAACAATCGAGCCACGGACGATTCCCTCCGAGAAAAAAAAAATCGGGTCGCCGGAAAACTGGCCGGAAAATTTTCCCGGCGACGGACCGGCGGCCGAGCCGGTACTCGGACACCGTCGACCATGCACCACCATCCCCTCGATCGCAGCCCATCCCATCCCATCCCGCTGTACGACCCATCCCACGCCCATTCCAACCCCAAAGAGTCGCACCCCCCTATATATACCTTATGCCATTTTTGGGATTTCCACCAGTATACATTGAAATGTCTGAGCAGTCACTGGGGGTCTAGAAAAAAAACTACATGGAATTTTAATCTGATTTTTTGCGTGCTTCATAAGGGTGATATAAACTACTTCCAGTAAAAATTTCAGAATTTTCTGAGCACTCTAACTATTTCTTTTGTAATTTAGCAAACTCGGATGATCCCGGTCCAGCCCGAGGTCCTCGGGAGCTTTTGAGTGTCCAGTGTCATTCTAAACTCTTTATTGGTCTATTTTAAGAGTTTTGATCGTGGAAAACCGGAAAACGGACGGAGAAAAATCGAATCAGTACGGTGACAAGTGTTCTGGCCGACGAAAATGCGCGCCAGTCCGTCCGATGGCCGACGAAAATGCGCGTCAGTCCGTCCGATGGCCGACGGTTCTGACCGTACGGTCGATCATAATTTTTTTTTTCGATTTTTTTCATTTTCTCCCACTCTGAAAACCTTCTAACCACGATTTTAAGAGTTTTTATCGTGGAAAATCTGAAAACGGACGGAGAAAAATCGAATCAGTACGGTGACATGTGTTCTGGCCGACGAAAATGCGCGCCAGTCCGTCCGATGGCCGACGAAAATGCGCGTCAGTCCGTCCGATGGCCGACGGTTCTGACCGTACGGTCGATCATAATTTTTTTTTCGATTTTTTCATTTTCTCCCACTCTGAAAACCTTCTAACCACGATCTTAAGAGTTTTTATCGTGGAAAATCTGAAAACGGACGGAGAAAAATCGAATCAGTACGGTGACATGTGTTCTGGCCGACGAAAATGCGCGCCAGTCCGTCCGATGGCCGACGGTTCCGACCGTACGGTCGATCAAAATTTGTTTTTCGATTTTTTTCATTTTCTCCCACTCTGAAAACCTTCTAACCACGATTTTAAGAGTTTTTATCGTGGAAAATCTGAAAACGGACCGAGAAAAATCGAATCAGTACGGTTACATGAGTTCTGGCCGACGAAAATGCGCGCCAGTCCGTCCGATGGCCGACGAAAATGCGCGCCAGTCCGTCAGATGGCCGACGAAAATGCGCGCCAGTCCGTCCGATGGCCGACGGTTCCGACCGTACGGTCGACCAAATATTTTTTTCTCGATCTTTTCATTTTCTCCCACTCTGAAAACCTTCTAACCACGATTTTGAGAGTTTTTATCGTGGAAAATCTGAAAACGGCCGGAGAAAAATCGAATCAGTACGGTGACAAGTGTTCTGGCCGACGAAAATG